CCTGTAGTGCTTGGGGTCACTGGGGGACTTGACAATGGCAGGGTCGCCCAGGCTGGGGTTAGCCCTGCGGCCCCGTCCTTGCGCCTCAGACTCCTCCTGGGGCAGTCGGGCTGCAGCACCTCGGCCGCCCGCTCCCGCTCCCACTCGCTGCCCCGCGGCCAGCTCCGGGCAGCTGCAGCTAGACAAGGGCTTACTCTTGCCGGACATAGCGTTGGCTCAGGCGCCGCGACCAGCGCTACGGAGGGGCCGGCCCGCTGTCTCCTTCCCGGCCCCCGCCTCCCTAGCGCGACCCGCGAGCCCTAGCGCAGCCGCGAACGGCAGCTCGCCCCCACATAGACAGTTGGACTAATAGTCACGACCAGCTCGGCTACCTCCCCAACCAATGAACATTCAGCTGCGTGATGACGTACCTTATCGCCCCTATGACGGTTAAATCAAACCAGCGTCAGAGAGGGCGGAGCAAACCATGGTGATCGTGGGGGGAGGAACGCACGGCGCCCCACGGAGCTTAAATAGCAGCGAAGAAGGAGCTAGACTAGAGACGAGGCTTAAGGTCTCAGCCTCCCCCGCCCATATTTCAGGGTTCGGACTGGTTCACTGACAAACACCCCCCCACATCCCGCGCTGGACTCTTCCACATACGGTGTTGGAGGAGGCGGGGCTTTCCCCGGAATGATCTCTCCCACTGGTTCAATGAGCTGTCGTTGACTGTCCGCGGAACGAGTGAGCATGCGTGGAAGAGGCCAAGGCCCTGGATGCTGGGAGAGGGGGAGCATTCCACGTGCAGGGAATGGGGCAGAGAGATGTGTCAATTCAACGAAACTTAACTGACTAGAGTTCAAGAGATAGAGGCCTCAGGCAGGCCTGCGTGTGATGTGGGTACCATTTGCCCACAGATTAGGGAGCTCACTCCCTTAGTACAGAGGTGTCTACCCAACAGGGGGTTAGCGAGTGCTGGGCTGTGTAATCCTCACTAGGAGACAGGATGTCTACCCAGTCAGCAGCAGTATAATGCCAGAGGCTATAAGCATTGTGGCTTTGCAGAGAAAGATTCAGGGTGCAGCTTAAACTGGGGAGTTTGGTAAAGTGCAAGCAATTTTCATAGCCAGAAGACATCTAGCGTGCAACCTCTGATTTTTGCCTTTATATATCTGAAATGAAAACACTTTGCAGAACTCCTTCCCAAGCAGAAGTAATCCTTCCTTGCACTTGGAAAAGCATCACTTTCAAGAATAGAATGGGTGCTTGTCAACAGACAACTTTTTTCATTACACAGTGCTGTAAAGAAATAGGAATTTAGTGGCCCTGATATTCCAGGGTGCCTGATTTTAACAAATGCCTGCACATGATAGGCTCTCAAGAGCCTAGTATCTGAGATAGCTAGGGAAAGTTCAAATAGAAACATTCTCACATTACAACCTAACAGCCAGTGCTAATTTACAGCCTAATGCTAGCCAGCGGCATTTCATTATCCTATTAACTACAGCCTCATTGAAGGGAATGCATTGGTCAAGTGGTGTCCAAGTGGAAAAGTCTTCATATGCAAGAGAGCTTTCAAACATACAACAAGGCTGCTGGCTCTGGTCATGGACTTAACAATTTCTGTAACTGGGCTCAAAATCAGAGGGGTAGCCGTGTTAGTCTGAATCTCTGTGGGCTCAAAATGAAAGAAGTGGCTTTTATTTTTGTCCGCACTCTTAATTAATGGAACTTGTGTCAAACACTTGATCTTCATTAGGAATACCCTGTACCAACCCCTAGATAACATACAGTATTATAAGGAGCAATTCTTCAGGGAGGAGCTAGTTCCTCTAGGAATAGATGTTTTACTCCTAACACATGTGCATGAAATCCTGAGATGCCTGTGCAGTTTTTACTCAGGGAAAATTCCCCCTCAGCTCTGAATTTAGCCCCATAGCTCTGGTTTGTTGCACAACAAAAACACTAACCCAGGAACCTATCCCTGCAACAAACCCCGTTGCCATCTCTGTCCGCATATCTATTCAAGGGATACCATCATAGGACCTAACCACATCAGCCATACCATCAGGGGCTCGTTCACCTGCACATCTACCAATGTGATATATGCCATCATGTGCCAGCAATGCCCCTCTGCCATGTACATTGGCCAAACCAGACAGTTTCTACGCAAAAGAATAAATGGACACAAATCAGATGTCAAGAATTATAACATTCAAAAACCAGTCGGAGAACACTTCAGTCTCTCTGGACACTCAATGACAGACTTAAAAGTGGCAATTCTTCAACAAAAAACCTTCAAAAACAGACTCCAACGAGAAACTGCAGAACTGGAATTAATTTGCAAACTGGACACCATCAAATTAGGCCTGAATAAAGACTGGGAGTGGATGGATCACTACAAAAACTAATTTCCCCATACTAATTTCCCCCTGCTGTTACTCACACCTTCTTGTCAATTGTTTGAAATGGGCCACCCTGATTACATTGGCCTCATTACCGCTACAAAAGTGATTTTTCCTCCCTTGGTATTCTACTGTTGAGAATAGCCCACTTCCACTTTAATTGAATTGTCTCATTAGCACTGATCCCCCACTTGGTAAGGCAACTCCCATCTTTTCATGTGCTGTATATTTATACGTGCCTACTGTATTTTCCACTCCATGCATTTGATGAAGTGGGTTTTAGCCCACGAAAGCTTATGCCCAAATACATTTGTTAGTCTCCAAGGTGCCACAAGTACTCCTCGTTGTTTTTAC